TGGGTCTAAAAAATTGTGTGACTTTATTGAGGTTGTGATTATAGCAGGTGTGACTATAGCGAGGGCTGACTGTATATCATTGTTTCAAGAACTTATGATAATGATAATGCATTCTTCAGTAACTAGATCCAATTTAATTACCGTATTGTCATGAAATAACGCCCATTTGTGTATTATTTTGAGTATATACGTGTTGTTTAGAGTACACATATGGGCGCTACTTTGAGACAAAGATAATTTTTCAGAATCTGGTCTTTCAAATTATTATGTACCTGCTTTACTCAGTTGAAACTTATATGGGTGCGCATTATTTCAGGATGCGCATGGACATTATTTTGAGATTATTTATGCTATTTTCATAGGGTACTATGTTTAAATAATGCTAATGTCTGTTTATTTCATAACTATGCACTAAGTTAAAAGCATAAACTTGAAATAAAAAGTTTATAAATTTCATAAACCCTGCATATTACTATTTTTGGGACTAGATAATATTTACAATGCTCATAAAATTTTAAAATTAAAAATAATAATTATTTATTATGCAATAAATTGCAGAATTATTTTTCATTTGTAATCATAATTTGGTTATTAGTTAAAAATAGAATAACTGCTAAGTAGTTTTAAAATCATACTATATATGTCTCATTGCATTATTATGAGCATCAAATCTAAATATTAATTATTTTAAAACCAAAATGCCATTCTAAAGAATTCGATTTTATAATACAGTATGCATCTCTGTAGTAAAGATAGAGCAGGGCAGAATTAACAATAGAATCAATAGAACTGAATATATGACTATTTATTAATTATATTTAGAGCTTTATTGAGCTTTATTGACAGTCATATTGACTAATTTGGATAAAGAAATCTAATCTCTCTGAGTTAGAATGCATCATTAATAAGGTGCGATCATGAAATTCACAAAGTTCAATAATGTAGATGTTAGCCAATTATACAGTAAACTCACTCGAAGAAACCTTTTGTTAGAGCACTGATGATGGTTTCTTTTTCATATTTTGAGAAATAAGCGATTTTTGACAAAACAACATTTTTTTGAATCTTTCTAGTAGTATCACATTGTACCTGATCTTAAAACCTGATTTATAGTTCAGGAAATCTGCACCACAAACCTTGCACGTGCACTGGGGAGATTGGATTTCCTTAACAATTCTGCTGATATGTCTCGAGGCAGGGTTAATAATAATTATACCGTTTATTGAAATTAAATATATTAATAAATAATTGTTGGGATGATGCTGAAACATGGATGATTGTGAAACATAAAATCCTATTGGTTAATGAACCAAACCTTAACCAATCAAATACATTTGTTTCTGATCATCCATGTTTCAGCATCATCCCTACAATATTTAAATTGATGCCTATTTTTGTCAGTTATTGAATAAACTCCAATGGTATTGAGTTTTATTTTGTCATTCATTGAATAAAAATGCTAATGAGTATTATAGAATAACATGTATATTTGGTCAATATAAATTAGTTAATCATATAAGTTGATTCTGTGCTGTATGATCTGCTATTATCTTAAAATAATACTCATGTATATACTTGAAATAACCTACAAGCAGGTTTGACAATGGAGCTAATGAAGCTCAATAGAGCCGTGAATAGAACTCAAACAACTAGTATCTATTGGCTCTATTTAGAGCTCCATTGGCTCCATTCGCAGCTCCATTGAACTCTATTGCCAACCCTGCGTACAGATGGGTAATATTATGTGAAAATATGATATTAAAGTCTATTTGTGCACATTAACTTTGCATAGGGAATAAAGGCCTAAAAATAATAATAATAATTATTTATTTATTAATATCATTGCGTTTTATTTTTGTCATTCATTGAATGAAAATGCTAATGGGTATTATAAGATAACACGTATATTTGGTTAATGTAAATTAATCAATCACATAAGTTGTTTTCTGTGCTGAACGATCTGCTATTATCTTAAAATAATACTTATGTATATACTTGAAATAATGTATAGGTAGGGTTGGCAATGGAGCTAATGGAGCTCAATGAAGCTGCGAATGGAGCTCAAAAAACTAGTATCTATTGGCTCTATTCAGAGCTCTATTGGCTCTATTCACGGCTCTATTGAGCTCCATTGAACTTTAGTACCAACCCTGCGTACAGGTGGGTAATATTATGAGAAAATGTCTATTTGTGTACGTTAACTTTGTATAGAGAATAAAGGCAATAAAGGCCTGATGATAATTGTTCCAGCCCTCACTAGTTGTGATTATTGGTTTTAACACAAGGCTGACCACTAATGTTTCAATACAAAGAGGTAAGGGATAAGTTACTTCTATTTTAGCGTTTTACTTGGTCATAAGTGAAAAGGTAAATTTTCTTAATTTTTCCTTATGTTTCTTATATACATGAAATTTGACTCTAACTAATTACATCATAATTATTTATTCAACCCTTTAACTCTTAAATTAACTACATCATAATCAATTATACTATATTTAACACTCATCTTAATTACTTATTTCTTATGCATCATATTCGATTTTACTCTTATATCACCAATTTCGTTTAACATTATTTGATCAACAATTGTAATCGATCCATGTGATCACAGACTGATGCAAAACTAATTCAAAGCGATAAGTATTACACATACTATTTTCTTTTTTTTTTATTTTTTTGCTCAATTCTAACTCTCTCTCTCTAATTCAAATATTCTTCTATTATTACACCACGCACTACATATCTCGAGCACCAAACTTCACTGTAGAACCGATTTCGACCATACCAGTAATAACAATAATTATTCATTTATTAATGTCTATTGAGTTTTATTTGTATCAGTCAGGGTATTACATGATAACGCATGTATTTGGTCAATGTAAATTAGTCAATCACATAAGTTGTTTTCTGCTGTATTATTTTAAAATAATACTCATATACATACTTGAAATAATGTACAAGCAGGGTTGGTAATGAAACTAATGGAACTCAATAGTTGTGAGAATGGAGCTCAAAAAACTAGTATCTATTGGCTCTATTCAGAGCCCCATTAGCTCTATTCATGACTTCATTGAACTCCATTGCCAACCCTGCATACAGGTGAGTAATATTATGTGAAAATATGATATTAAGGTCTATTTGTGCATGCCAACTTTGCATAGGGAATAAAGGCCTGAAGATAATAACAATGATTATTCATTTATTAATGGCATTAGATTATCCAGGATGGGCGTGACATCTATGGTTGATAACTTGCATTTAGAGAACAATAAGAAAAATTGCATTTATGGAGTCCCATATATATAGTCAAATTTCTCTAAATACAACCCTTTTAAATGCAATGCCTCTATAAATGCATTCTTTAGCTATCTATAAATCAAATTTTCTTATTGTTCTCTAAATACAAGCTATCAAAAATCTAATCTCTACGTGTTGCATTTAGAAAGGTTTGACTGTATGTGATTTTATAGTCAAGGATTGAGATTATTTTATTTTTATCTTTGCGGTATTTTTTTTTTATAAAATTAAGTTAATAAAATTTTTTCTTGATTGTAATTGTAATAAATTTGTAAAAAAAAAATATTCCTTAGTAAAAAAAATGCTGTCTCATCTTACCTTGCTCGTTATTATTACTTTCATAAAAAATAATAGTCTATGCTCATATGGCCTTGCAAAATACAAACTTTCTGAACAAACGTCTCATACTATTAGCTGGAAATACTTTTTTTCTGCAAATGAACCATCTTGATTGTTTACTTCTGGTAACTTGGTATTAATTTCAGGTAGATTTGCTGTTGAAAAGTCAGAACAATGCATGACCATTGCATATGCGACCATTCTTAATAATGGAGATTCTAATTACGAATTTAAATTTATTGATGTTCCAATTTGTATTCCACATTGTATGTTTTCTATTCTTGTTAATCATAACCCAAAAAAAATTGAAGAGTTCATCCATTTTGGTGTCAAATATGTAGAATATAATTTTATTACTGGGTCCGCTAATGTTAAAATGGAAATAACTGTTTTTTATCTTTCCAAATCCATAAAATTTAAACTTTTGGGGTTTTTAGGATCCAATGTTAAAGTAGGAAATACCTACCTTATTTCAGGTTTTTTCAAATTTTCGAATTCTGAAAAGATGATGATTGAAGCTACCGACATCGATTATTCAAGACCGTTACCTTTAAATTTTAACATTTCCGAAAATTTTTCTAATACATCATCAAACACTCACTCAATAATTGATATTATAGCAGATGACATTGATTCTATTACTAATCAATCGTCCAAAGAATCTTTTATTGAGCATGATACTATCGTAACTTCTAATTCATCTAAGATGTTAACTTCTTTAACTGTTGCTGATAACAAATCTAATTCACTATTTGAAAAAAAAAACAATATGGAATTAGATACTGAATATGATAAAAATGAAAATAATCAAAAAGAAGACGACCAACCTAAAAAGAGGAGAAGAAATATGAAAAAATAATTTTATTTATATAAGTCGATTTGTTTTAAAATTGTCATCATGGTGTTAGGTCTTATTTTTAAAGCGTTATTAGACAGTGTTAATATTAGTTTATTTTTTAATTACATAATAGCTACTATTACTAATAAAAGATATTACTGTTACTATCATTTTGGGAGAGCATAAAGAACTATCGGCACAATTTAACTCCAATAGTTAACTTGTATGTTCTTTGTATAGAACTCAAGGTATTTTACTAATAAATAAAGGCGTTTATAGTAATAACTCAAGCACGTGAGGTTACATAATTAATACGTGATCGGGGCACTTAATTATATCTACCAGTAATCAATCAGGTAAATAAATTAAGTTATGTAAGCGTAATTAAATAAATCAGTAATATCGATAGTTAATCAATACAACTGATATTAAGGGTTGATACTTATAAGGTAATAAAGTAATAGAGTAATCGAGTAATAAGATACTAACAGAAAAATGTATAATACAATCGTGAAGAGTCTTCACGGTTAAAATAAGGGAAATAACAATAAATACAACAATACAACAGTAAACTTATATAACATTAATTCGAGAAATCAATTCTTAATACTCCTATATTAAAGACAATGAAATCTAAAGTTTTATTTGAAGAGCGAAAAGACAGCTCTTTTATACTTTCGAAAATACATTGAAGGCTTGCTACAAAATACACTTCTGAAGTCTAGCTCTATACTTTGTTGCTCTAACATTATCTTTTCATCCAATCTTAGCCCGTCCAGACCCAAACCTTCTAAGCCGATTTTACCATTATATTTCTAAGCTTTTCCAGACCTGAACTCTGGGCTTCACAATAACAAACAAATAAAAGAATCTATAGATATAAGAATAAACAAAGATGATGAAAAATAATTATTTGTACAGATCTGAACTTCTAAGCCTTCACCACAACCCAGCCTTACGGTATACACATTCTCGTTACTACAAGTCACGATTTTTCAAAGAAAAAGCGTAACATTACGAAAGAATATGTAGTAATAAAAATTTTTATAAAAAATTTCGTAACACCTGTTACTGAAATCATAAACTGACTGTTAAATTCCCGCTCATTTATACCATTATTGACTTAGAACCTCATTACTAAAATGAAAACACGGGCTATTGAAATCACTACCTATCTATTACTAAATTATAAACCATCTATTAATAAATCTTAACTCATTGTTAAAAGCACAAACCCATCATTAAAATCACCAACTCATCAATGGTTAAAAGCATAACTCACAATTGAAATTATAAACTATCTGTTAGTAAAATCATGAGCCCATTTACTATTGAAATTATGAGCCACTACTATTAAAAACCAAAACACTATTAAACTCAAAGTGGTATCAAGAAAATTGCCAGTTATGAGCCAGGTTGTCATGTTTTAGATCAGATCGTCACGTTTCAGGAAATCACGTTTCAAATCGTCAATCTCTGATCATATGATAAAAATTGGACCAATTTAACATCCCTAGTTGGGTTATAAGTATGGCAAATAGTGTAGTTCTTACAATATACTGTTGCAGACTACTTAAATAAGCAATCAAAAGTTGTATATATAGTTAGTTGTACACTCTAATATAATAGAAATTCTATTGTAAACCTCCCAATCTGATATACTTAAATAAAAAACCTTATACCAAAGAGGCTAGTTAAAAAAAATTATTTATTTATACTGATATATATATGATATTATATATTTTTAAAGATATTTATATGATTTTATTAATTATTATTTCTAATCAAAATATAGGTTGATATATAATGATATATAGAATTAGTATAATATTTTATTAAATATATTATATTATTATTATATTAATATAAATTTATTTTATTAAATTTAATTTAAGCTGATATTTTGATAATTAGTTTAGTATTCTATTTTTTTTTTTTTTTTTTTATACCTTCGCAATGTCGCGGAAGGGTGGATTTTTATTAGGTATTTTAGTGATACATTTTTGGTTAGCAAGAGTACATATAGCCACACGTGCAACTTTTGGTCGCCTAATTTAAGTAGTCCGCCCGAAG